GGCACCTTTCAACCCAAATGGCATGCACAGGAACTCCAACAAGCGAAAGGGAGTGATGACGGCGGTTTTAGGAACATCCTCAGCGCGTACCAGCACTTGGTATTACTGACCCCTGTACCAAATCGATTTTGGAAAAAATCGAGGTCCCAGCGAGATGGGTGGAAAAATCCTGGATGTGGGGAATCGGGTAACGGTCGTTCTCCATAACGTTATTTAAACGTTGAAAATCCCCGCACGGTCACCACCGCTTGTCCGACTTGGGCACCATGTGAAGGGGAGAGGCCCAGGCACTGTTCGAGTGCTGCACAATGCCCAGGCACTCCATGGCCGCGAACTCCTCCCGGGCAACAGACAGCTTTGCAGGGTCGAGGTGACGCACGTGCGCAAACACTGGAACTAACCATGGGATATAATGCTCAACCCCTTGTTTCGCTGCTACGCTGCAGAAATTAGGAGTTGACAGTGACCGAAACACAGCAAACACAGCAAACACAGCAAACACTGAAACACGTCCCCGGGGGCTACCAAATTGGCCCAGATGAGGGGGTTAGCGGCCCGGGTAAAACAGGGCAGCGAAAAGAATGACAGAGCGTCAATCAAACGTCTGTGAGCAAAATCGACTAACAGCCCGTGAGCAAGAAAATCAGTGCCTAAGATAGGCACAGAGCTGGCATCAACAACAAAGTTCCACTCAAATTCCTGACCATGGAAACTAGCAGTCTCTAACTTTTCCCCATAAGTTGCAATAGGAGAACCGTTATCCGCAATCAGCTGCAGTCCGTGTCCTACCTCTAAACTGTCCGCGGTGGAGGGCGGGATTACGTTCTTCTGGGAGTCAGATTCCACCAGAAAACAGCGCCCGGAGCATGCGTCTTCAATGAAGAGCAGCCTTTCAATATCATCAGTGACCGCGGCTGCTATGGCACCGTGGCAGTCCCCTTTCCTTGAGCCGTAAAAAGTGCAGGGTGGCAGGCAGCGACACGCTCTCAGAATCAGAATCAGAAAGACTTTATTTATCCCCAAGGGGCAATTAACATACAACAGAGAAGCATGACGCCAAAAACGCTGACGGTAGAAACAAAGTTTTTTCCCACGGTGCCGCAGTGTAGCGGTTCCTGCCGTCAGTGCCAGCCCGTCCACTCCGGTGAGGCTGTTGCCGGTGGGTTTGGAGTCAGGCCGTGCACTCCGAACGTGCAGGAAGCCAGCAGGATGCAATCTGCTTCTTCAGCCAGGGAGCGGTATTCCAGGTCAAAATCATCAGAAATATGTTTATGTGGGTTTTGTAGTGTTTTTCATGCTCATTTTAAATCTGTGTTTAGTTTTTCCCTAGTAGGTACAGTTTTTTGTGATGAAGCTAGTTAAATATTGCATGATAGTTGGTATAATTAGCCTAAGCTTTTTACCAGATTTTATGACAGTTCCCTGTGTTTTATGTTATAGACAGCATTACTTGCGATTGATTTAAGTTGTTACCATGCCTAGAAATTGCTTTACTCATCCAGACAGTTTCTGTTACTTGTCTGGTTTATTCACGATGAAAGCACAATGTCACCCAATTGCAACAGACCTTAAGAAGATATGCAAATTGTACTCTGGCTGTCCACTGGGTGACCAGGATAAACTTGGGCTCCACATGTTATCTGCAACAGTTGTTCCAATGGACTGTGTTACTAGCTAAATCTGTGAAAGGCAGCAATGGCATTTGCAATCCTGATGGTGTGGTGGGAACCGCAAGATCATCTCAACGGTGGCTATTTTTGTCGCGTGAATACAACAGGATTCTCAGCCAAAAATAAGCACAAAACTTTATATCCCAGCCTGGGTTCCACAATAAGGCCTGTTTCTCATGATAACTAATTGCCTGTTCTTGTAAGATGCATTAGATTCTGTAGAACGTTACGAGGAACACAGTCACGGTGCATCTGGTTACAATCCAGAGTCATCAGATCTTTATTAAGTGCCTGATAACTATTTAGAACCAGAGACCAGAGACTCTCGTTCATGATCTAAATCTGTCAAAAGACATAGCAGAACTTCTTGCCTTTGAGGCTTAAGCTGAAGCATTTGCTTGCCAAGGATGTTACTGTAAAGAGGTCAAAGTCATAACTTGACAGCATTCTTCACTGCTGATGACTCACTGTGGTTTTGTCATGACGTCAACGGACTCTTCAGCAGTTTGTCACAAGAGCATGTTCCAAGACACAAGAGCTGAATGTCATCTCTGTAATGATTCTTCACAAAAAAGCTTGAAGGCAGTCCTACTCCATAATGGAAATGCCAGACCAAGTGTGCCGATTGCCCATTCTGTTCATCTAAAGGAGTCCTATGACAACATGAAGACACTGCTTGAGTCAGTTGCATATAAAACTCACCAGTAGTGATCTGTAGGTGACTGGTATGTTGATGGGAATGCAAGCTTTTGGGAATGCGAATCACCAAATACTGCTGTTTCCTGGGCCTGTGGACAGTCAATCTACAGTGTTAAGCATAACTGGCAGCCACTAGATGCCTATGTCAAGTTTCTGCCTCTGGTTGAACCGCATAAAATATTTTTGCCACCTCTCCATATCAAGAAGCTTAATGAAGAATCTTGTCAAAGCCACGGGCAAAGCGAACTCACTACATTTTCAGTACCTTGCTGAAAAGTTTCCAAACGTAAGTGCTGCAAAAATGAAGCAAGGGATATTTGTAAGTGCGCAGATCAAGTCAGTTTTGCAGAATGAAGGCTTCAAAAAAACTCTCAACAGGAGAGTTTGAAGCTTGGGAGGCATTCAAGTGGCTCTGCAAAAACTTTGTGGGCATCCACAAGTCTCCTACATACAAGGAAGGAGTTCAGCATCTGCTTGATTCCTACCAGAAACTGGGCTGTCGCATATCAATGAAAATACACTTCCTACACTTACACTTCTGAGTTCTTTCCAGAAAAACCGCCTTGAGGCATAGCTGGACTAGCCATCGGGCATACCGGGCATTTGCCAGGTG